CTTGTTGCCAAGAAGGCTAAGGGCATTTTGGGCTGTTAAAGTAGGGGCATTGCCAGCAGATCGAGGGATGTGATCGTTGCCCTCTATTCAACATTGGTGAGGCCTCATCTGGAGTATTGTGTCCAGTTTTGGTCTCCACACTACAAGAAGGATGTGGAAAAGTTGGAAGTCCAGCGGAGGGCAATGAAAATGATTAGGGGGCTGGAGCACATGACTTACGAGGAGAGGCTGAGAGAACGGGGATTGTTTAGTCTATAGAAGAGAAGAATGATGGGGGATTTGGTAGTTGCTTTCAACTACCGGAAAGGGGGTTCCAAAGAGGATGGATCTAGACTATTCTCAGTGGTACCAGATGACAGAACAAGGAGCAATGGTCTCCAGTTGCAGTGGGGAAAGTTTAGGTTGGATATGAGGAAACATTATTTCCCTTTCTGGGATGATTTAGTTGGGGATTGGTCCTGCTTTAAGCAGGGATCAATAATTCAGCCATTATAACCATCGCCCGTGCCACCTGCCCTATTCTAGCTCAGTCTCATTGAATTCGCTGGGGATAGGGGCTGAAGGATGGAGGGAATATTTATAGCTGAAATCACCAAAATGTGTTTTGCAAGGTTAATGTTAATCGGATATGTTCCGCTCACCTGCTCGGACATTTTCTCTGGCGAACCCGGAGACGGAAAGGAGCAGATGTTACCATCTTGGCTACCAATCCCCACTGTGACTCTCTACACTAGCAATTCTCAAAGTGTGGGCAGAGCCTCCCAATGAAGGCACAGGAATGTGTCAGGGGAGGCATGAACAGTGTGGGTTGTTTGTTTGTTTTTTAAAGAGCACTGGCTGTCGGCCTCAGTTGGCTGGGGCTCATGAAGAAGGAACAGGCCTAGCTGGGATGCGGGGATAAATGCTCAGGCTCTCAAACCCAGGTGGAGCAGCAGCACAGAAGTAAGGGTGGCAATGGGGTGATAAGTGTTGTGAACAGCGATATTGATGAATATCACTTTTCAGGTGGCCACCCTAACTTCTGTGCTGCTATTGGAGGTCTTCAGAGCTGTGCACATTGCTAGCGACTACTCTGCCTTTAGAGCTCGATGGTGATATACGTGCTTTTGAGGGTGGGGGCATAAGTGACTACAGACACAAAGAAGGCGGGCGGTGATGAAACACATCTGAGAACCACTGGTCTACACTCTTATGGGCACCACGTTTACAAAATGATAAATCTTCTCCAAAGTATGTCTTGTGCGGTATCATAGGAAAAGTCATCACCTGCTGAATATTAGTGTCCCATTAAAATGTGTCTATCAGCACTGTCCATGGAGCTCTGAGAGTTTGCTGTATGTTTGTTACATGCTGTAAAGCTGGAAAACGCCCACAGACAAGCTCCTCCTAGACAATGGCACCTGCACACCAGCTAGGTGCTAAGTGGGCAGTAATTGCTTAGCTGGCCATTCACCAGCTGTGGAGCTGGGAACAGGAGAGTTACAATTCACCGGAAGGACGGCTGGACGCTCACTTAGGCCACAGACTGATTGTCGCCTGCCCCCCGACTGGGGGATGAACCTCAAAGAGGAGAGTGGTATAAAAGCACAAGGGAGAATTGCCTCCATTTTTACCTCTCCTCTCCCATCTTTACAGAAGGAAGCAAAATGGCTTGAAAGGGAACAGGGATCTTGGACTGGGGAGGGTGGATCAAGGCTGGAAGGAAATCCAGCTTGGGTTTAAGAACTGTGAACTGCCTGCAACAGCGGGTGGGATGCGAAAACCTGCTTGCTTCTCATTTTCCTTAGTTTGGTAAAATTTAGGATTTAAAATGCATGTTTTAATTTTATAGTTTTAACCGGTTCTGACCTTTTACATCTTTCTCCCTTGTAATCCCTGAAAACCCCCTTGCTCCAGTTACTAAACTGGTTTTAGTGTTTTGTCTGGACCTGTGTGTTTTCATTGAAGTGTTTGGGGGATTTGACTGGAGAGAACAAGGCTGTGTCCTAATCCGGCCCCTTTTTGGGGGTGACCCACTAATTACTGAGTTTTTCCATCACCGTGAACAGACCGAGCAGTCCAAGATGCACATTCCCGGGGTGTAAGGGATGGAGAATTAAGCAGTTCAACAGTCCAGATTGTACCTTGTGGAATGTCTCACACCCGCTGTCTCCTGGCACCATTGTGCCTTCATCATCCTGATCCTGAAAGGCAAACGAAGGAGGGCAAACCAGAGAAGAGGAACCAGCCGACATCCTCAACTCCACCGACTTTGGTTTTGGCTAAATCCTGAACTCCCCCTGGCATGTTAGACTTGAGGTTCTGCTGCCAGCCTTCCCCTCACGCATCTGTTTCCTTCGTAATGGTCAGGGGTGCAAGTAACTTAAAGGACTTAGCCCAGGGGTGAGCAACATTTTTGGCCCAAGGGCGACATGAGGATTATAAAATTGTATGGAGGGCCAGGTAGGGAAGGCTGTGTCTCTGCAAACAGCCTGGCCCTGCCCCCTATCTGCCCCCTCCCACTTTCCACCCCCTGACTGCCCCCTTCAGAATCCCCAACAGTGACCTCGCTGGGTAAGGGATTCCTGTCCCCTCAGATATTAGAAGTAGGGTGACACAGATGTCTCGGTGAATTACCCAATCCCACATGCATCCTCCCCATGGACCCGGCAGGATTCGGTATGTGGGAGCCCACACCCCCTCAACCAGTCCATATGCTTGGAAGGAGCACTGAGAACATCCGCACCTCCATTCAGATAGTCTCCAAGTATGTCTCCATGGCCACAGATCAGATGGTACTCCTGATGTGTCTGTAAGGGCAGTGGGCCAAGCCTGATGCTCTAGATCATTCCGAATGGCCATTAGCTGGTCATTCAAGAAATCCTGAATTTTTGAACATGCTAGATCCCACTGCAATGCCTTCCCAGCCTCAGTGATATTCAATACCATCTCTGTCAGCAACTTCTGGGTCATAGAACTAAGGGCGGAGATAATATGTAACTCACCAACTCCAGCCTGTACCTGGGTTAGTTGTGCTCCAGAAAGAAGGCCAATGGCCTTCTCTAGTTGGAACAATTTCTCATCATGTTCTTGGTCCCTCTGGCTGATGGAGGGGCTCTGCATGTGCACCCCTCCCTCCCTGAGGTGGGAGGTGGAGACTGAACTGAGGAAAGTTGATGGCGGGGGGGGGGGGGGGGCGTAGAACTGCTGGTGGGTTCTCAGCCCCCACCAATTTTTCCTGTGCTCTGGCGGGTTTTTTTTGTTTTGTTCCACCGAAGGCTTGTTTTGTTTGTTTTTTTTGCTTCAGGGCAGGGGAAAGCAAGTCACAAAGTTCCATGAAAGTGCCCTTACGCATGCGAAAGTTTCGCAGCCACTGGGAATCGTCCCACACATGCAACACTATGCGGTCCCACCCGTCTGTGCTTGTTTCCCGGGCCCAGAATCGGCATTCCATGACATCAACCTGCCCCAGTAACACCATGATTTGCACATTGCTGGGGAGGTCTATGTCCATATCAATTTCTTCATCACTCTCGTCGCCACACTGCAATCGCCTCCTCGCCTGGTTTTGCTTTGGCATGTTCTGGCTCTGCGTATACTCCAGGACAATGTGCGTGGTGTTCTTAGTGCTCATAATTGTGGCGGTGATCTGAGCGGGCTTCATGATCCCAGTGCAATGGCGTCTGGGCTTGAAAAAAGGCCCGAAACTATTGTCTGATGGAGCGAGGGAAGAAGGGAGGGGTGAGTGAGGACGTGGCTTACAGGTAATTAAAATCAACAAGGGTGGCTGTGCATCAGAAAGAAACACTAGCAACTGTCACACAGAATGGCCCCCCCCAAAGACTGAACTCAAAACCCTGGGTTTAGCAGGCCGTGGATTTCACGGAGGGAGGGGGAAGCAAATGAATATAGAACAAATCTGGTCCATTTACTGTTTGGATCCACTCCATCTATCTTTTACATCTTAGGCTGGCAGCAGACGGTGCAGCATGACTGATAGCCGCCGGCATCTTCTGGGTGCTTGGCAGAAGATTCTGTACTACGACTGGTAGCCATGATCGTCAAGACGGTGCAATAGGACTGCCGGCAGGACTGAGTCTCCAGGAGACAAAACATGTCTGCCCAGGCACCTCTGACCGAACTCACTGAGGAGTATGACGACGATGGATATCAGTTGTAATACACCATCAGCTGCCAAAAGGCAAGGAGCTGCTGCTGTATAGCAATGCAGCCCCACGTCTGCCAGCACCCAGATAGCCGATGACAGCTACCAGTCATACTGCACCATCTACTGCCAAAAGGCAATTAGCTGCTGCTGTGTAGCAATGCAGTACCACGTCTGCCGGCTCCCAAATGACATATGGTGATGGTGAGCTGAGCTGAGCGGGCTCCATGCTTGCCGTGGTATGTCGTCTGCACAGGTAACCCAGGTAAAAAGGCGCGAATTGATTGTCTGCCATTGCTCTGACGGAGGGGGAGGGGCCTGACGACATGTATCCAGAACCCCCCGCGACACTGTTTTTGCATCATCAGGCACTGGGATCTTAACCCAAAATTCCAATGGGCGGCGGAGACTGCAGGAACTGTGGGCTAGCTACCCACAGTGCAAGGCGCCGGAAGTCGACGCTAGCCTCAGTAGCCTCATACAGTGGACGCGGTCCGCCGACTTAATGCACTTAGAGCATTTTATGTGGGGACACACACAATTGACTGTATAAAAACGATTTCTATAAAACCGACTGTGATGGGTTGGATCACAGAAACCCCCTGGGAGCTGCCACCAGATGTGCAAAGACTACCTACCCCTGCTTCTGTTTTCCCTGCGAGCTCAGGACTCCAGCACCCTGTCTTGCTGAGCAGGACACTCCCATCTGGCTCCAGACACAGATCCAGGGTATGAATCACTTGTCCCAAAGCTGCAAGTTTACCTGAAAACAGCTCGCAGTAGTGTGCTTGTCTTTAGCACTCAGATGCCGACTCCCAATGGGGTCTAAACCCAAATAAATCCGTTTTACCCTGCAGAAAGCTTGTGCAGGGCAAACTCATAAATTGTTCGCCCTCTATAACACTGATAGAGAGATATGCACAGTTGTTTGCTCCATCAGGTATTAATACATACTCTGAGTAAATTACTAAATAAAAAGTAATTTTATTAAATATAGACAGTAGGATTTAAGTGGTTCCAAGTAGTAACAGACAGAACAAAGTAAGTCACCAAGCAAAATAACATAAAATGCGCAAATCTATGTCTAATCAAACTAAATCGTCAATATCGCTGTTCACAACACTTATCACCCCATTGCCACCCTTACTTCTGTGCTGCTGCTCCACCTGGGTTTGAGAGCCTGAGCATTTATCCCCACATCCCAGCTGTTCCTTCTTCATGAGCCCCAGCCAACTGAGGCTGACAGCCAGTGCTCTTTAAAAAACAAACAAACAACCCACACTGTTCATGCCTCCCCTGACACATTCCTGTGCCTTCATTGGGAGGCTCTGCCCACACTTTGAGAATTGCTAGTGTAGAGAGTCACCGTGGGGATTGGTAGCCAAGATGGTAACACCTGATCCTTTCCGTCTCCGGGATCCACACAGAAAATGTCCGAGCAGGAGAGCGGAACAGATCCGATTAACATTAACGTTGCAAAACACATTTTGGTGATTTCAGCTATAAACATTCCCTCCATCCTTCAACCACTACCCCCAGCGAATTCAATGAGACTGAGCTGGAATTGGGCAGGTGGCATGGGCAACGGGTATAATCGCTGAATTATTGATCCCTGAATTAACAGAAGACAGGAACCCTTTGGATAGCTAAATATAGACAACTACAGTTACCCCTCTCAGAATCATAGAATATCAGGGTTGGAAGAGACCTCAGGAGGTCATCTAGTCCAATCTCCTGCTTAAAGCGGGACCAATCCCCAACTAAATCATCCCAGCCAGGGCTTTGTCAAGCCTGACCTTAAAAACCTCTAAGGAAGGAGATTCCACCACCTCCCTAGGTAACCCATTTCAGTGCTTCACCACCCTCCTAGTGAAAAAGTTTTTCCTAATATCCAACCTAAACTTTCCCCACTGCAACTGGAGACCATTACTCCTTGTTCTGTGATCTGGTACCCTTGAGAACAGTCTAGATCCATCCTCTTTGGAACCCAATTTCAGGTAGTTGAAAACAGCTACCAAATACCGCATCATTCCTCTCTTCTGTAGACTAAACAATCCCCGTTCTCTCAGCCTCTCCTCATAAGTCATGTGCTCCAGCCCCCAATCATTTTTGTTGTCCTCCGCTGGACTCTTTCCAATTTTTCCACATCCTTCTTGTAGTGTGGGGCCCAAAACTGAACACAATACTCCAGATGAGGCCTCACCAATGTTGAATAGAGGGGAATGATCATATCCCTCGATCTGCTGGCAATGCCCCTACTTGTACAGACCAAAATGCCGTTAGCCTTCTTGGCAACAAGGGCACACTGTTGACTTATATCCAGCTTCTCATCCACTGTAATCCCAGGTCCTTTTCTGCAGAACTGCTGCCTAGCCATTCGGTCCCTAGTCTGTAGCAGTGAATTGTATTCTTTCATCATAAGTGCAGGACTCTGCACTTGTCCTTGTTGAACCTCATCAGATGTATTTTGACCCAATCCTCTAATTTGTGTACGTCCCTCTGTATCCTATCCCTATCCTCCAGCGTATCTACCACTCCTCCCAGTTTAGAGTCATCTGCAAACTTGCTGAGTGTGCAATCCACGTCATCCTCCAGATCATTAATGAAGATACTTAACAAAACCAGCTCCAGGACTGACCCCTGGGGAACTCCGCTTGATACCGGCTGCCAGCTAGGCATGGAGCCATTAATCACTACCCCTTGAGCCCGTCGATCTAGCCAGCATTCTACCCACCTTATAGTCCATTCATCCAGCCCATACTTCTTTAACTCGCTGGCAAGAATACTGTAGGAGATCATATCAAAAGCTTTGCTAAAATCAAGTAATAACAGATTCATTGCTTTTCCCTCATCCACAGAGCCAGTTATCTCGTCATAGAAGGCAATTAGGTTACTCAGACATGACTTGCCCTCTTCTTCCAAGTCTTCAAAAATACACATTTACATTTCAAACTCTAGCTTATCTAAAGTGGACACACTTTTAAAATCTCTCTCTGAGTAAGTTACATGCAAGTTGCTTAACCCTTTCTTGCCATGTGTCACAGAAGTTTAGATCCTGTGTGGATTCTTCCATGTTTAATGAGGTCAGACCTCCATATGAAACTTTTCCCACAGTCCAAACACTTGTGGGGTCTTGCTCCTCTGTGGATTGCTTGATGGTGAACAAGGTTTGACCTCACTTTGAAACATTTCCCACAGTCCAAGCACTTGTGGGGTCTCTCTCCTGTGTGGATTGCCTGATGTTGAACAAGATTTGACTTTCTTATGAAACTTTTCCCACAGTCCAAGCACTTGTGAGGTCTTTCTCCTGTGTGTAATGCCTGATGATTAACAAGGTCTGACCTTTGTATGAAACTTTTGACACAGTCCAAGCACTTATGGGGTCTCACTCCGGTGTGTAATGCCTGATGTTTAACAAGGTGTGACCTTCTTATGAAACTTTTCCCACAGTCCAAGCACTTGTGGGGTCTCTCTCCAGTGTGGATTGCCTGATGTTGAACAAGGTTTGACTTTTTTATGAAACTTTTCCCACAGTCCAAGCACTTGTGAGGTCTTTCTCCTGTGTGTAATGCCTGATGTTGAACAAGGTCTGACCTTTGTATGAAACTTTTCCCACAGTCCAAACACTTGTGGGGTCTCACTCCTGTATGGATTGCCTGATGTTTAACAAGGTTTGACCTCACTGTGAAACATTTCCCACAGTCCAAGCACTTGTGGGGTCTCTCTCCAGTGTGGATTGCCTGATGTTGAACAAGATGTGACCTTCTTATGAAACTTTTCCCACAGTCCAAGCACTTGTGGGGTCTCTCTCCTGTGTGGATTGCCTGATGTCTAATTATTTGTGTCTTCGAAATGAAACATTTCCCGCACTCGAGGGATTGACAGGTTTTCTCTCCAGTGTGGCTGCTGCCATGGTTATTAAGATCTGAGAGCTTATTGAAGATTTCCCCATCGTCCAAGCAATGAAAGGGTTTCTCTCCAGTACAGATTGTCCGATGTGTCACAAGCTGTGATCTCACAATGTATTCTTTCCCACACTGAGGGTAGTGCCCGGCTGTCTCTTCCTTGGGATTTGTCTGCTGTGCTCTGGGATCCTTGTTTCCTTCCCCACCGGTAATAGATTCATCCACTCTCTTCCCTGGATGGTTTTCCAGAAGCCTCTCTGACCTCTGCCAGTTTCCCCAGGCCTTTTCCTGCTCCAAGCACTGGGAAAAATTCCCTTCAGCTCTTCCAACAAAGGTCCTCTGCAGTTCCACTTCCCCGGGAACTTCCTCATGATGATTCCCCTCCTCATTCTCACTCCCTCGCTCAGCACCTGCTGGGAGAGACACAATCCAGACAGGAGTCATTGTGCTTGGGAGAAAGAGGAAGAGCACCAAGGGGAAACCCAACATAAAGACTGAACAATTGGACTCCGCCTCCACATCCCACCCAAACACTCACAAGGAAGGGAAGCTGGGAAGCAAACTCCTGCAGCTAAGAGGCTGGGTGGAATAGTGTGAACTATATCTCTTGACTGCAGCCCTGTCCTGACTGAGATGAGGAAGAACTGAGGGCGTCACTCACACCATATTTTGGGATTCTCAACTTCTTCCTTCATTCCGTAGATTGTTTCTGTGTCAGTCCTCACCTGTTCGGGTGTATCTCGGAAGCCTTCTTTCTTTGCAGTCCCGGAGATCGGGCACCCATGGCTCTTCCCCTCGTTCCAGCTGGGTGATCAGCTCAGGTTTGGGAAAGGGTAATCCTGTGCAGAGGGTGAAATCAGATCAGATCAGGGTGCTTGGAACATTGGTGGAGTATTTGACAGAAAGGATATTCCGTGAGTGGAACCTGTCCCTGCGCTCTGCTGGAGGAACGTGAAATGCAAGAGGATGGGGAAACGGTCACTGAGCCCCCTTGTGCAGAGGAAGTTGTCTGGGGAGGTGAGTTGAATTATTACTACACCCTCACTAGGCATTCCCAGGATCTGTGCGCTCTGGGGGCCTTGCTGACTCACACACAGCTCTGCACTTAAACCCCTGTCTCTTTCTAAACCTGCAGAGCCCAGAGCCCTCCCCATGGCTGGAGCTAGTCCCAAGGAGGGAGGTGAACAGGGATTGTGTGTGCAGCCGAGAAACAACACAGACAGGACAATGCTGGATTTATGTCCCTTTGAAAGCTGGAGGGGTGGGGATGGTTTAGCTTGTCCATTGGGTTTTGACACCCATGTCCCACTGGAAAGCGCATGGAGATGCAAGTCTCTCTCACAGGTCAGCTGTGCATTATGGAACCACTCGCCTCTGATCTAACTGACCAGGGAAGAACCTGTCCAGATTCTGACATGCAGACCGCACGGCTTCTAGTTAGGGTGACCAGATGTCTCGATATTATTGGTAGAGTCCCGATTTTAGGGGACTTGTCCCATCCCCCGACCTTACATCGGTCTGGAAGCACTTTCTCTCGATATCGGGGGATCATCTGGTGGAGGACGCAAGACGGCGCCACTCACCTCTTCTTCCCGGGCCCTGGGGCAGCGCAACTGAACTCCCGGTGCTCGCCCGCGGGCCGGTAGCAGCCTGCAGAGTGCTGAAGCCCCACTCCCATGGCACACACAGAGGCGGCGAGGAGGTCTACACTGCATTCTGCAGGGGCCAGGCTTGAAGGTGGCGGCAGCGGGCAGAGAGCCCACCTGCCCCTGCCCCTCTCTACCCAGCCCAAGCCGCACTACCTTAGGAGCCAGAGGGATGGGACCTGCCTGCTGGATGCTTCCTGGGAGCCGCTCCAGGTAAGGCTAGCACTGCTAGGACTCACCTGGCCCCCTGATGGGTCCCTCTGGCTGGGGGAGGGGTTCTGCATGTGCCCCCTCCCTCCCCGAGTGGGGAGGTGGAGACAGAACTGAGGCAAGCTGGTGTGTGGTGGGGGGCGGGGCGTGGAGCTGCTGGTGGGTTCTCAGCCCCCACCAATTTTTCCTGTGCTCTGGTGGTTTTTTTTTTGTGCTCCCACACCCCCCACCGCATCCTGATATTTCACCTCTCTCATCTAGTCACCCTACTTCTAGTATCTGAGGGGACAGGAATCCCTTACCCAGCGAGGTCACCGTCTCGTAGTTCTCCTGCATGACGTCCCTGTAGAGGGCTCTCTGAGCGGGGTCCAGGAGTGCGCTCTGCCCCTGGGTGAAATACACAGCCACCTCCTCGAAGGTCACCGGCATCTGAAACACCAAAAGTCCCCCACTCAGCACCTGCTTCCCCAGCCACAATCCCACTAGTCACACGGGAGGAAGGATAAAAAAATGGAAGTTCTGGGAGGGCCAGAGTAGCAGAATCCCACCCCCACCATGCGTAGAGCAGCCAGGAGGCTTCAGGGGGTGGGAGAAGGTGAGAGCTCCTTGTCCTCCCCAGCACACAGAGCAGGGCAGGGTCTTCTCATTTCCCACACACCTGCCAGCCACAGGCTTATACGGGAAGCAGAGGTCTGAGCCAGGGATAGGGAAAGGAATCCAAACATCTTCCCTTCGTATTTCACAGCAGCCTCAGGTTAGTGGGGTCTCACTCCAGCACTGGAAGCCTTGAAAATGTTCCCAGGCCTGTGCAAGGGGGTTATATCCTGTTTGAGAAATGGGGGAATGTCCCGTCTCCCCTCCCCCGTCACCAATGGGCCCACTCAGAAAATCAGCAGGTTTATCACACCCTGTCTCCTCCCTGCCCCCGCCCAGGAGCTCCCTGAAAATCCCCTACCTGAGCTGGCTCCATCACAGACATTTCCCTTCCCTGTGTCCTGGAAGACGGGCCCATCTGAACCAAAAGGTGGATGCGATTCCTCAGCCTGTTGGGGCGAGAGGGGCGATGGGGGAGGTTAAAAAAGGGGCTGGAGTCCATGTCACACTCCGATTTCCCCCCAGGCTCTTCAGACCATCCCAGTAACAGTATCTCTGAGCCAAATGCTAGAAAAAAAAGCAGAACTAAAGGGGCCACTTTGGGAGATTTCCCCACACTGCCGTGTAAACTCCTCTCCCTTAGGAGCAGCAGGAGCCCTCTGATGGCATCACCTAAAGAATGAGCTGCCCTGGACTCCTGCAGCAGCCCCCAGGGACAGGCAGGCAGAGGCTGATCCCATTGGCCCATCCACACTCCCTGCCTGCCCAAAGCA